TTTGGTTTTGAGGTCTGGCTGGCCCCCGACGGGCAGCTCAGAGCAGGACCCACACAGCCCCGCTCCCTGGGGCTGTCCCAGGCGGCTGGGAACTTCAGTGCTGTGTAAGGCCCTCTCTCAGGAGGAATGTGTTTCCCCTCTGCTGCTCTATGTGTCTGTGTCGTGGGAAGTGTTTATCTTTCCATGTTTAAATCTAGCTGTGATACCACATGCCCAGAAATTGGAAGAGAGTGAAATCCTTGTGGAGGATCTGGCTTCTGCACCCCGTGGTTTAGAGCGTTAGCCCTTTTGTAAAGGGGCACGATGCTCTCATATCTCTTAAGGCCTTAGTTCCTGCTCTGTACAGGACAGGGATTCACTGCACAGGAGAGTAAGAAACCGTCCAGTTTAGTGGTTATGTCACCTTCCTTTATACCAAGTGAGGTAGTCACACATGCAGGAGGACCAGCAAATGGGTATCACCATTCCCAGATGAGAGCCTTAATTCTGACAGTGCTACTTGATGTTTCTCTGAGTTAAAGAAATAATTAGTATGAAAATACAGTAAAAGTATTCAAATACTTAATTACAGCTAAGCAGAACAGTTCCAACAGGAGGGCAGGAGCACATTGCACACTCATTCATCCCCTGAATATTGCGGAGCATGGAAGTTAGGGTCCTGCCTGGTAAAGGTTCAGTTCTTTCAGGCAAAGGAATATAGTTAATATTCTGGATTTCTTGTATCCTAGATGGACATGTCCCAGCCTCAGCTATTGAGTTAGAGGCAGGACATGCCTGGGTTTAGTATAAAAATAGAACTCGTGCGATAATGCTGCCTCCCAGCATGCCAAAAGGTATCAAAAATACTCCTTCCGCCAATGGGAAAAGGATGGGATGGGGGATCATAGGGCAGTGTGTGATAATGAAACTCCAGCTGTGAACTGGCAGCTGAAGAAGAAATAACATGGAGACTAGAAATAAACCATAATGATAGTATTGTTAGTTTCCTCTTATTTTTCCGATTGGTCTTTTTCCATTTTCATACCTGGATCTTCTGAAATTCACATCAGAGATGCTTTACGTCACCTATGTTAAGATGCTAAAATGTAAAATGAAGTTAACTGCAGAGTAAAGAACTAAGCTTTAGTAAATTCTATAGGTGTGAGCCAGATTTTATAAAGGCAACACCTACTTGAACTAAATTTGCCACCATCTAAATTCCATTTTTGAATATAACTTATACCCAGCCTGTGTTTTAAAGTGATTTTTCAGTATGTCTGGCCAAGGTCTGAAGTAAGAGGAAAGCTGTCCCTGTGTGTTAGATCTGCTTTGAAATATGTGTGTCAATGCTGAACTCTCTTTTCTTCAGTTTGATAGTGAGGGAGATAGTACTGAAAATGAAGAACTTCTTTGTTTCAACATAAAAGATAGATATTGCAGTTCAGTGTTGCAACACACAGCTGGATGAGCAGTCCTTCAGAAAGCCCCAAAACCTTACTTAGTGGGAACCAGGAGCTGGCAAGCTGAAATTCCTTCCCATTTCCCTGAGGGAGGGAGGGTTTGATCTTCCTCCAGGGTGTCTTTTAGTAGATATTTTATATTGAATCTTTAAAAAGTGATCTTAATACAAGAGTTCTTCTTAGTCAGACCCTAATTCCCGTTATTTGAACCAATGACAAATATTACAGAGGTTTCACAAGGTATATGGTTTGGCCCACTGGTCTCTAGCAATCCACTGTGCTGCGATTGTTACCACTGGTGTAGTTCTAGCATCACTTGTTATCAGGGCTTCCTGGGCATCCCAGGCTCCAGAATCTAGCACGTTACTCCTAAATAATTAAAGAACTATTTCCTCTCAGAAGAGAGGGCAGAGGTAATGATGCTGCAGGTAATGTTTTTGCCAGGCAAACAGCAAACAACTTAATTGTTGTAATGTTTCACAGATTTCCAGCGCTCGTTCCCAGGATTGCCAGGTATCTATCTTGGATGTTAATATCCAAGCAGCATAAGTAATAAGGAATGAGTGTAAGGAACTTGGTGCTTTGTTATTTAATCATTAAACTTAGCTTTTGATCTCTGCTTCTAGTTAGTTATTCAACACATGACTGATGTTAGTAAAGTAATGTGGAGTCTTACCTGTTGACATTTTTTATCTCATGTCATTCAGGGTCCTACATGAGATGATCTTGAAGGAAGCGATGCTTGAAATTATTATACTTTAAATTAGCTTATGTATTCACTTGTGTTACATAAATGGGACAGGCAAAAGGCTTCCAACTGGTTTAAAGGATTTATAATGTTTAAAAGGACAGTTACTTGAGTTTCACAGTAAAATATTATTGGAATGGGGAAAAATTTGAATAGACTTCCTTTTTTCTCTTAAGGACCAATGGACTTAATGCAATTCCTTAGTTATTATTAAGATTTTAAAATGTTTGAATGATGATGTCTCCAAACTTTATGTTTAGAATTTCTGGAACTTTTAGAAAACAGAAAACTGTATGTATTTATAGGATTCCACTGACTGTGGAGAGTTAAACTGCATTGTGTAATCTTTTATACAATAGTGTGTCTCTGATGATGAAGTCATACATTTAAAATAGTATTTTCCTATTTTTGAAGTACTCAGGAGCTGAATTAATTGTTATTCAAGTTGTTGCTGGTGGTTTTTATCCTGGATCTGCTCAGCCTAACTACGTATTAAATCTACACTTGGTTGAATGCTGACATTAGAGCACAGAACTGCTGAGATGGTTGGTCATTTCCTTCACAATTTGCAGCAAACTTTTCACCCAGTCTTCCTCCTGAAGGATCAGGGCGCAATGTTTTGCTGAGCAAAACATTGTTACTTAGTGCCACCGCAGCAGTGACACTCTGGCTGTCCTGGTCATCCTGATCCGGAAAAGCAAATAAATACATGATGAAGATTTTTTTTACTTTAGCACATACTGAAAATCATAAATGAAATGGTTCCTTCTAATTGCTTAGCTTCCACCAAGAAGTTCCCCAAAAGCAGATGATAAAGAAGACAGTAGGGATACTTCTTTGCTTTAGTATTATAGGGATCAGAAGTTTTAATTTAATTCTATAAACTTGATATTTGCCTGTGATTCTAACTTCTCTAGATTATAGTAAATTATTTCAGTAAGCCAGGAGAAAGATACAAGAAAATAAAAGAACTTAGTGAAATAATTATATTCAGCAGCACAAGACAAATTAATTGGACAGCCTAAGCTGAAATCAGCAGCAATAATGTGCATAGGTTCCTGAATTCCTGTCAGTAGGAGTTTAGTGCATTAGCTAAAAATAATCACGTTTTTCCTAGTTACTTTCAAGTAGCCTGCTCACACTCAAATGGATGGCTAAATCTTTTCAGTATCTTTCTAATGTTTAAAAGTGATACTGATTCTGAGTCTGTGTTTATTAAACATACTGCTTCCTCACTGAAAATGAGAGTTTTCATGATCTGTAATCTGATTTTAATGGCAACCCCCACTCAGCCCCAGTAAATAAACTTGTCCTAGGACAGATGAGCCCAGGTGGTTCAGAGCTGGATCTGAGCTCCCAGGAGCTGTCTGCTCAGTGGTCAGAGACTGAAAGATTCAGACAGCTCAGGCAGTGTGTTGGAAGTCACACTAATTGTGGTTTTGGATCTCCATTCTTCTCTGGGCTTTTCCTTACCTCACCTTCTTGTAATTAACATGCACACATACAAAAGAAGTTCTGAAGCATTAATATGACTTGTTATATTTCTTTGTTTTAAACTGAAGAGCTAAACTGTCGAAAATCTGGAAGTTTAGAAGTCAGTCTCAACTTAAAGCAGTTGACTGCTTAGCCAACTGCATATTAGTCATTATCTTTATTCCCTTTTTCTCTGTATTTCACAAAATTTTGAGTTCACCTGCTATTTCTTGAAATCTTAATTTATTTTTTTCATAGTTTCAGCCTTTTTGTTCTGTGACATGGGACAGGAATGTCTCTAGGTTTTGTGATTAATGCACATGAACCATGTTAAGAAGTGATCTTGGTAATATTTGCATTTTGATCATAGTAAGAATTGCTGATGAAGTGGCTCCTTAACCTGCAAGGCCATCCTCAGTGTCGTGCAAAACTATATCTATAGGTTCAGAAGGTGGTCCACAAGATGCACATGTGGTAGCAGTGGCATCTTGTTTGAGAAATTTGGTCAGTACTGCCTTTTGAGAATTAGTGAAACTGAATTGATTTAATCAGGTTGGGTTTGGTTTTTTTTTTTTTTTTTTTGCATTCTTTGTTACTGCTACTGGACATTTTTAAGGTAGAAACATTTTTAGAAAGCAGTCCTGTTAAAAGTGGGAGGAAAATCCTATTTAAATTACTTGAAGGAATACCAAAGAAAGACACAAATTTTTAACCTTAATATATTTCCACTGTTCAAGTAGCTGAAATGCTGAGAGAGAAGGCCCATGATGATGGCTCTGTTAACATGGCTATGCTAAGGCATAGCCATGTTTGTAAGCAAGAGGTGTTATGTAGGCAAGGACACATACTTTAAGGTATGAGTATCCAGTATTAAATTCAGATGGATACATAGCATTAGAATGAGAGAATAAAATGCTGTGCTATTCCGGCTATGCATCTATACTGGCTTCTGAGATAACACTGCAGCAAGAGGTGACTTCACATAACCAAATACAAACCTTTCTCTGTTCTTGTTAGCTTCAGCTCTCTGCTGTGAAACTGGCAGAGCTGCATAGTGACCTAAAAATACAAGAAAAGGATGAGCTAAGCTGGAAAAAACTGAAGGCTGAAGGGCTAGACGAAGATGGAGAGAAAGAAGCCAAACTTAGACGCAACTTAAATGGTAAGGCATATCTTTGCAGAAGAAGTTTAAACTTTGCATCAGACACATGCATGGTTAGACACCTGTGTTTATGTTTGAACCATGAAATACCAGGTTGTCTTTCCAGACACTGAGCACACATGAGCTCACTGGAGGTCAGTAAGGAGCTTCAGGAGGCTAACAGATTCCTTTGCTCCTGATGTTTTCAGAAGAGGTCATTAAACCGGGACCACTGTGTCTTAAACTGTTAGCTTTTTCAGCGTGAGCTGCAAACTCCAGCTCTGCAAGGCAAGGATGTAATTGATCTCTCATCATCCATACGTCCATAGTTGGTTCTAATGTTTCTGTATCTTCTATTCCCTTGCAGTCATTATGACTAAATATGGAATGAATGGAAAGAAGGACTCTCAACTAGTTGATACCAACTACATTAAAGATGGTACAGAAAGTGATACACTAGATGATCCAAGACTGGAAAAATTATGGAGCAAGGTGAGTAAGGTTTGCAGGAACTGGAGTGTGTTTCTTCTTTGACTTACTATCTGTGTATTCTGATCGCCGCCAGACTTGAATAGCTTTCATACTCTGCTTTTAAGTACTGGCCAAGCTGATGTGCTCTGTAGGTCACATCTCTGTGCTCTCAGGGCATGCCATCTGCATCCAGGTCACCAGGTATAGCAGGTTCTCATTACCAAAGAAAACTCCTGCATCAGTCTGCATGGAGGATAAAAACCTGGATCCACTGGGATCAAACAGAGTTTTTCATTAAATTTCACTGAACTCACAATTTCTCTTTGTGGGACTATTACATTGTCCCACTGCTACACTGTGTCGTAGTACATTTCATGCTGGTTTTCCCATTTTTCTTGTTTCTGGGCTTTTTTGACAAAATGTATTTAAAATAGAAGCATTTCCTAGACTGATCAAAAGGGAAATGTATAGTGGGGGGTGTTACATAAGGACTTTCCCAATCTGGTGTACAAGTGAAAATTTCCAGGATTTGCATTAATGAATTAAATAAAAAAAGTTACATTGTCAGTCTGGCCAATTAAACCTGACAGAGTCATACTCTTTGGGAATTAAATAATTCAAGTTTTAAGAAATAGGAAGTCAGGTAAAGCAAACAATTCTTACACCAGTTTCCTGCAGTGGTAGCAAAGCAGAGAAAGATAATTGCTGGGTTTTAAAATGTTGCTGTAACTAGATATAGCTCTGGCAAGGGACATGATGTCATGTGCTTTGGGGAACAGTAAAGTGCATTAGATAGAAATATTCCCTAAGCGAAAAAAAGAGGTTGGGGCTGAATAGGTATCAAAAGCATTCACTTCCTATCACATATTCCAGCAAATAAGTCACCAGATTTGTGGGTGGTGCTCCAGCTGTCTGACCAGTGCTTCCCTAATTGCCAGAAGTAGTCTATTGAGGAACAAATCACTGCAGAGCAAATGCACAGCAGTGATAAAATCTGCAGTTAACAACAGAGTAAGATTAAAGACTGTGCTTAATATCAGGCTGCATCCCTCATGCAAACAGTCCCCTTACAGTTGCATATGAAGTTCCATGGCCCTTATTTCTGTATTAAATTGTTTCTTGTGGAATAGAAATGACAGACACTTTTCACTGGTAGCCCATAGCAAGTCTAGCTTTGTAAGTCTGAAGCAAACACTCTCTTGACGTGATTAAAGCAAACATATCCATTGATGTCTAAATCCTGACCTCACACTAATATAAAGGGATTTGAAACAAAAGATCTTAAGGAAAAGCTGGATTTAATAATTTTCTAAGTGTGTTGGGAAAAAGTTTTGGCTGTTTGAGTGTACTTAAAAGCGCTTTCCCTGGAAGGCATAATGAGCTCATGTTTCTTTCAGGCCAAGTCCTCTGGGAAGTTCTCTGATGAAGAGCTGGATAAGCTTTGGCGAGAATTTAAGCATCACAAAGAAAAGATCCATGAATACAATATTCTGCTGGAGACCGTGAGCAGAACAGAAGGTGCCTAAACTTTACTTTGACAGTTAGAAATCAGTACAACTCTTTTCTGTGCCCATTGCCTCCACTGTTTCCATCTTTCTTTGAAACTCCCGAAGTCTGACATTTCTGTCAGAACTGTGTGCAGATGCTGACATTTCCAGATACTTGCTGGGTTTAGTTCTGCATTAGCTGCCAAGAATCTTGCCAGCTAATGAAAATTATTTCAGTTCTCTGATTCTGCCTGCATTTCAAGTAAAGAAGATACCACCAGATCAGCAATGATGGCATAGTAGTTTACTGGAAATCATGCAGCAAGCATAGATACACTGCTGCAAAATGTGGTCCTAAAGTCTGCAGAATATGCATGTTTTATCTCACCAGCTGGGAGCCCAAGAGAATATATACCTGAATATCTTATGCACCCCAAGGCTTATTAAAGCATTAAGGATCTGAATCCAGCTTGCTCTACTAATCCCAGCTAAAATTGTTAGAGCAAGAGTATTCTAAAGCTTTATAGGCAGTTTGATGTTTGCTTTCTAGAGTCTGAGCTGGAACCTGCTGGAAGTCATTTCTACATCACATGTCCTGACTGGTTCACAAAATGGTCAGGGAAGAGGGCTCAGACTCATAAACCATCCCTATCCCATTTCCTCGGGATATTTCTAACCTAGGAAATAAAAGCATTTCTTTACTAAAAACTTGGCTGGTGGTCAGTAGGAGTGAAAAGGCATTTCTGTAATATTATCTTCCAGAGCACTGAGGGGTATTGATCTTAATATTGACTTGCAAAAGGAATTACTGCTTATTGAACTGTGGTGTTAATGCTTTATTTACTCTCAGCTCTAAGCTAATGCTTAGAACTTTACGATCTTTTATTCACCTCAGATTTGGGGGGTTTCTGGAGCTTTTGACCTATGAGGATTTGGTTCACAGTCAACAACACTTCTTCTTCAACAGATATCCACAAAAACGTTATCAACCCTGAAGAGAACCTGGTAAAAGAGGAAATTTTGCACAACAAACACAGAGAACTCAAAGACAAGCTAAGAAGCATCAATCAGGGGTTTGAGCGTTTGCGTAAAGTCAGTCACCAAGGATATGACGCAACCAGTGGTATGATACAGTGGTTTTTCTGCTTGTTAGGGGTCAATTTCATTTTTAAAAACTTTAAAATCAGTGGGGAAGCAATAAGGTGTAATCACAGTATCACAGTACGTGATCTGACCACAGTGGGTGGAAGAGATACAGCCCACCCTGTTCTATTTACAAGCCAACACTAAAAGCCTACTGAAGGGTTAGGGACAACCTGTAAAGAGGATAGTTCTGACTTCCAGGCCTTCAATCCCAGGAAGGTAGGTAAGTGAGACAACATGCAGGGCAAGCAATGCTGTTACTCAGTTCCTGGGGATTTCTTTGCTTCTTAAAAAACGCCTGCTACAGCAGTACTGTAGTTTTAAGTACTTGGATTTTGTCCGATTTCATCTAAATAGGCATATGAGTAATGCACTGCTTAATATATTTATGTGTATGTATGTCAGAAGGCTTGCTCTTCTTTCATAGAAATTGGGCATAAAAGAATTGTGTCCAGATTTTCATTTAGTCATGTGTTTGTTTAGAATTTGAAGAACCAAGAGTGATTGATTTGTGGGACATGGCTAAATCGGCCAATTTCACGGAGAAAGAACTTGAATCTTTTCGGGTAAGCAGAATTGCGGTTAGATCCCTTACAGAAAGATATTTACCCACATAAAGATGTTAACTCAGCAGTGTTAACTCTGAGAACAGAGTTTAAGTCTGAGCAGAAAAGAGCAGATCTAGGATCAGATTTTGAAAAGAGGCTACTTTAAAATATTTTCTGCCTTCCTCCCTCCAGTCCACGACTCTTACATATAAACTTTTATTTGGCATTCACTGCTATCATCTCCTAGCACCTCACAGCCATCAGCAGACTGTTTGAGGACTCTGTGGTAGGAGGTTTTCAGAACCTGCTTTCAAAACTAGGTGTCTGGGTGGTGATGATAATATATTGTCCACATCTTCTTAAGAAGCAGGGAACTGAAAAAGTTTTCTGTGCTTGACTTAGTAAAATAGCATTAGGGAGGTCTTGGCAAGAAAAGAGAAAGAAAAGAAAATCCTGTAAAACTGTATGTCTTTGTTTTAGGAGGAGCTGAAACACTTCGAAGCAAAAATTGAAAAACACCATCATTATCAGAAACAATTAGAGATTTCACACCAGAAACTGAAGCACATAGAGGGAACTGGAGATAAGGATCATCTGAACAGAAACAAAGAGAAATACGCCATGCTGGAAGAAAAGACAAAAGAACTAGGATATAAGGTCTGTATAAATCCAGTGCAGATACCTGGTGAAAGTTTAACTCAGCGGTAGAGAGTATGTAGATTATCCAGTGCTGATTTTTCATGCAAGTTGAATGACTTCTATAGGGGTTGTTCAAGACATGCCTGTGCTCTATGTTTATAAAGGATATGCATAATTGTTTTTTATAAACATAATTCTAAAATGCCTGAAATTTCCCTGGTCTCTGCTCTTTGCTGACATATACTGACAGGAAAATATGAATATATGATATTGGCAATTCCTGGTCTTACTAAAACTTGTGTGATGTGTTTTGTTTTTCTGCTAGGTAAAGAAGCACTTGCAAGACTTATCCAGCAGAATTTCTCAAGGTCTTCAGCACAACGAATTGTAAAAACTTGTTCTCCTTCATGGGATAAATCTATTAACACAAACGAGATAATGTGTTTTTTTGAACAGGATTTATCAAGAAGTCCATCTGAAATAGTAAGGATTGAACAGAGTTGTCCTGTAAGAAATTTTGGTTGTGGTCCACTTAATTGCTAGTTTTCTATTTGCACTATCAAATGATTAGATTATAAATTTAAGGTGCACATCTTGGATCATATATATCTTAGGTCTGAATCAAGTAACAGCCTTTGAAATAAGCTGTTGTGTCAAAAGGAAAAATATGTGAACACTGATCTGGTAGGAAAGGTGTTCTGATCAATGAAAGCAAACACTGAGGTACAGAAGATTAAAACAGAGGCCAGAAAACTCTTTTATTTCAATGCTTGGCCTATTACATTTCCTACTGAAGGTAACAAAAATATTCCTACTGACTTTGAGCAGGGGCTCAGAGCTGCGCTGTTTATGAATCTTTGATGTGAGAGGGGAAGGAAAAGCAAGGAGGGAACAAGTATTGAGCTCAAATCACACAACTTAGTTATAGACTAATGTATCTGAAGTTACTGAATGTATGTGTACAATTAACTTGTTCATGGTTGGTTGGTTTTCTAACAGTCATAAAAAAAATAAAAACAAGTTACTGGTAAGGCTTTTTTTTTTTTTTTCTTCCTTCTCATTTAGTGAGAAGTAACCAGACCTGGTTTTTTTGAGCATTTTGCTTATTAATTTAAGCTAAAGTTCACTCACATTATTTTTTTAAGACGGGAAGGGTAGCTTTGCACCATAAAAATGCATTTCTGTGTTCTGAACAGGCAGAAGGTTCTCTAAACCAGCTTCTCTCTGAGCACATATTCCAGTACCGGTAAGGATTATTATAACTTTCCTTCTCAAGACCCTATTTTCATCTGGGTTGAAATTTTCTATAATCATAATGCTGACCCTTTTATTTCCCAGGCATTTCACATGAAACTGTTCCAGGAACAAGGTTAAGGCAAAGGTCCAGCGTAGGTGAATCATTACAGCTGCTTGGTTAAGGAGCCATCACTCACAGACTGCAGTGCTGTAGTGTGCTGCATGAGGAAGCTGTCCTAAAGCCTCACTTGCCATGCCTATTCCATGAGAAATAGTGAAGACATCCAGTCAGTCAAAATCAGCCACTCTGTATATTATTTATGCAGTTCCTGGGTCCATGGTCTGTTAAAAGTTGTATGGTTCTGTACATAAAGGCTATTTCATAACACACAAGTGATCTGAACTAAAACAAACTGTGGTAGCAGTCTTACTTACCTTAAGATTCTGACTCATAACTTTCATCAGCTTTGCTTTTCCTTATTTTTTTTTCTTTTTCATTTTAATGTAAGCTAGCAGTTATATATATTCCAGGGAATCATTATCCATTGAGGGAAACACAGGCTACTGTTAATATTAGGAGTCACCTTAGAGATGGTTCAGTTCATGCAATTTATGGGGTATGTTCCCTTTGGTTGGTAAACTAAAAAAAGAATACCCAGAAATAGCTAAAACCCATTTATGAGAAAAGTGGTTTGTTGGTTTTTTTCCTAAGATGCTATGCACCATTTGTTCCCCAGACTACCGCTTTAGGGCTCTTCAGCCTTTAGCACAGCAGTAGCTGCATCGTCTTAAGCAGAACGTTTATCTTCATCGTTATTTTTTTCCATTTTTGGAGGTGAATGCAGAACAAAAGAGTATTCTGTACTCTGTGAAGGTGCAGATGTCCCTACGTCCTTTGGTAGAGTAGGAAGTAAATCCATATACCATAGGTCAGTTTGGTGGCTGTAGCTTGGATATGGAGAGGCCTGCACTACTGGCTCCTGAGTGAAGAGTTTGAACACATTCAACACATGCACTGAATACATCAGAGAAAAGGAACTAAGCAAAGTACCAGCAACTGCTGCTCAGCAATCCTAGGTGGATTGTACAAGAATGGAAAAGCTTCTACTGAGCATGTTCAGATACTGCTACAGGGAGAAAACTGTTGCACAAGAGAAAACAATATATTTCAGCCTACAATAAAGGTGGGCAGAGTATGCTCTGCTCAAGAAGGCATAGCAGAAAGCTGGGTTTTGTCTTCAGTGTGTTCCTGAAACAAATATGCATACTGAAGAATTTTGGAATGGCACAGGGCCTGTGATTTGTGAAAGACATAACCAGGGTCAGATCAGCAGTGGTGATGGTTTTCTCCAAGTGCAGAGCAGCTTCAGCACAGGCTGTGGACAGAAATGGTGGCTATACCTCTGTCTACCCACATGCCCTGAGTAGTCATGTTCAAAGGCCAGGTAGGCTCCAGCAGAGAGAATGCTTGGCAAGTGCTTCAAAGTACAAGAGGCTGACAAAATACTTACATGTCACAGTAAGTTAAAATTAGGAGTGAGTCACAGACCATCAGTGGCAAAAGTTGGAGGTGGGGCCAGCACTGTAGTTATTGAAAACAGCTGTTAATGAATCATTAACAAGATTGTTCACACAAGCCTCGAGGAGGAGCAGCAGCTTTTGATGCCCCTGAATCCAGCTCCCCCCTGAAGTAGTTTGTAGCTGAGTTAGAGTATGCAACAGCATAGAGAAGACATTAGGAATAGTCTCCGTTCCCATTCCAAAAGCATTTTGGGGCTTTTCCTACTTTTTGAGATCTGGGGACAGCGCTCAGACTAGTGAGTTGTAAACTCTGATTTCACTCTTGTTCTTGTAGTCGGCACCTTACACACATCAATATATGTACAAGTCATTTAATTATCACAGGATTTAAGTCTCCAGGGCAATTCATATGGCCAAAATTACATGAGTGAGTAGCCTTAGACACATTAAAGATTAAAAAATACCTTGAGCCACCACTCCTGTGTTTCTGTTAATAGCAATAAAAATTCAAAGCCAAGACAAAAGATAGATATAAATGAAATATGCCTACAGCCCTGTACCTAGTGAAGGGTGAATAATGGAGTTCAGGGGTGAGACTGCGTGGAAGAGACAGCTGAATAGGAAAGAACTAACAGCTTTTAAACAGGGCTTGAACCTTCATCTCTTCCTTAATTGGTATTTTATCTGATCCTTTTGTAATTATTCAGATTACCAAGTTTTTCAAACCACTCTGGGAAACAGTTTGAAATATACAAACGGGAGCAGAAGGAAGAGGAGAGAACTGCATTTCTTAGGGGGAAAAAAAAGATCAAGCTATTTTATGTTATGTTTTAAAAGGGCTGTCAAATTCTGCCCTGAAAAAGAACCTCAATTTAAGTAAACATGTCAGTGCTTTCACATAGGACAGATTCTATTTATTAAACAGGTTGGGGGTGGAAATGAGAGGGAAGTAAATACACAAGGCATTAAATACAACAAAAATAACACAATGTCCTACATGCTGGTAGAGGAGCTAAGATCACCACATTCTATCCAGTCAAGTAAGGAACAGCCACTACAGCAGATGTATTGCTGTAACAATTTCCCCACTTCCCTCCCAAGGGATTCTGATGCTCAGCAGATCAGGTAATAGAGTATTTAAATTCACCAAGTAGAGGTCATTCACATTTTGTAAGCTGAGGTGCCATCTGGCTTTCCAGCCCCACCTTGAAGCAGTGACTGCAGTCCTTTAGGTATGGCTCTCGGTGCTGATGGAAGCAGGATCCATGGCACGGCTCTCCTCCAGCTTGCTGTGTGTTGGTCTCCATCTAGCCAGGGTGATGGGGCCTTTGCACAGAAGGTGCAAAAGTAAAAAAGCAGCTTCCAGGATGAGGCTGTCTCAAAGGCTGATCTTGGCTGAGCGTTCAGAAGGGCTTCAAGCCCTCAATGAGGCACAGAAGAGAGCTCCCAAGCTCCCAGCTGGACAACATGAAACATACCCGTGTGTATGCTGCCTAGATCCCAGCACACAGGGTCTGCAGCTCTGCTTCTTCAGGCATTTCACCCTACTGACCCCAAAGAGCACAGGCAGGATCCTAACTCACCATGTTTCAGTTCAGTATTCGATGAATTAGTGCAGTTACACTGTGAAAGAATGTAGGTTCCCAGCCAGGGTGCAGCGTGCCGCAGTGCCCAGAAACCAGAGCGGTGTGCAGAAGTCAGGCTGCAGGGAACAACTCTGCAGGCCCTAACCTGGGTCACGGGTCAAGCGCCCAAGTGCAGTGTTCAGCTCAGGACTAACCCAGGCAGCGGTGACACACAGCTCACGTGCTTGGGTCACAACACATTCACCATCTCCAGACCTTCCCTGTCATCATCTGGCACTGCTTCAGAGAGGTATTCAGGTTTGGGGTGGGTTGGTTTGTTTAAAAGTGTGCCATTTCACATAAAAAAATCTACCAGTAAGAAGTACACAGGCTTAGTACACAGTTCTAAAATTGTTTTTAAATGAATTTTTTCTTTCCATATCATTTAATGAGACTAGAAGAAATAAAGTCATGAAATGAAAGTCAGTAAATAAAACTCGAGTAATAGAATAGACTGTTGCTTTCAACACGAACAGACCTATCCTTGTAACAGAGAACAGGGAGCTGTGAAAGACAAAGACCACATTTTCTGCATGTTAGATAACATGTTATCTAGCAAACAGCTTCTAAATAGCAGAATCAACATTCCCAAATCCAACACACAGCTAACATGCATTTCAGGCCATTCACACAGCACCTTTTGGGAAGTATGTTGTTAATCTACGAAGAAAAAGACACTATGGATTTCTTCTACTGGTATCCACGGTCATCAAATGGAAGCGTTCATAAAATCTATCCAGTTGAGCCAAAATAAATATATAAACTTACCTCCACAGTAAATATTTCAAGTTGAGCCATAGCTGGTACATAGCTATTATCAATAGCCCTTAATGCACTTTCATATCCAAATCTTCATGTATATTATCCTACCACTCAACAAAAGAGCAGTCTCCCAAATTAAAAAGACAACAGTACACAGGTATTAATGTTTAACATGTGAATGTGAGAACAATGGATACATCAATATAACATGGAGATGGTTTTTTCCTTCACTGACATGTTTGCTTATCAAAAGGCTGCACATACCCATTTTAAGAAAACTTGTTGTTTTCAATCCCAAAGGTCACCTCTCAATAACTTGTCTACTGTAACATAAATCTGGTGATCTTTATATCACCAGGTATAGGGCAAAGTGAGTGCTAAACCACTTTGAAATAAGCCTTCTACTAAAATAAAAAGCCACCTAATCTTCTGTAGTTATAATTTTCCAGGGAACTTACTTTAAGAAGGGAAGGGACCTACATCATTTTAAGAAGAAAC